GGTTGTTCTCTACTTTAATCCCTCTTTAAAGTCCTTCAAGTTTTTCAAAAATTTCATTCAAAGTCTTTAATTGGTCAACGAGTAAAACAAACAACACGCACTAACTAGTCCTATATCATCATAACTAAATTTAGCTTGATTCTAGAACTTGAACAGAGACTGTGGAACAAATGGATTCATACTTAGCTAGTCACATGTATGTTGCCTTTACTTTTTGTGTTCAGTTAGTATACTTTTTCTTAATTAGTTTTGTACTCTTTCTAAGGCTGCTTAATTAATTAACTAATGTTTGCTCGGTTTAGAATTTTCCTTTCCACCAGCTCTTCGGAGATGGGAGCACTCAGTGAGACTGGGTGGCTAGGACACCTTGGAATCACTCACTAGGGACTTGTCTCGATAGCTGGATCGACGTCCTTTCGGGTGAGATGATAGTTCAATATAGTATAGCATGCTTGGTGGACTGGGACACATCCATTAATTAAGAGGCTTAACCAGAACATATGTAGGTTTTGTGAGCTAATTTAACAAAATTCTATGAATGAGAGACTTCATTTCGATTTAAAAAAAAAAAAACAAAAAACAAAAAAGGAAAAGGAACAGGAAGTTGGACGGAATAAATTTACTTTATGACGCTTTTGGCTTGTGTGGAAGTAGAATTCTTTTTTTTTTCTTTGATAAAAATGTAAAAGTAAAATTCTTAATTTTGATGTTCTATATAAACATCTCTTTGATAAGAAAATTCAAGGAAATCAACCGTTCTAATTTTAGAATTTTGCCACAGTATTTAAAAATAAAAAAAAGGAAAACACTGCTAATAATTACTGTAATTAATAAAATAAACCGAATTTGAATTTTTAATTTAAAAATAAAAAATATTTAATACAGTTTAAATTTTAATGAATTGTACGTATTAAACTAATTGGAGATTGGGGGTAGGTATCTTAATATTTGAGATTATTTTACATATAAAAGTTTTTAATTTATAATTTGAATTGTAAAAAAAATATTTAAAAATATCATATAATTATTAAAGAATAGTGATATATAAGATGAAAATGAGAGTTAAAAATTTGAGATTAATAATATAATTTAAATCATATTATTAAATGAATTGATATATAAAATATTA